TGCTGCTGCTGGGGTTGCTGCTGCTGCTGGGGCTGCTGCTCCTCCTCATAGTGCATAGGCTGCTGCTGCTGCTCTTCCTCATAGGGCATAGGCTGCTGCTGCTGCTGCTGCTGCTCTTCCTCATAGGTCATAGCTTGCTGCTGCTGCTGCTCCTCCTCATACTGAATAGGCTGCTGCTGCTGCTCTGCCACATACTGCATAGGCTGCTGCTGCTCTGCCTCGTACTGCATAGGCTGCTGCTGCTGCTGCTCTGCCTCGTACTGCATAGGCTGCTGCTGCTGCTGCTCTGCCTCATACTCCATAGGCTGCTGCTGCTGCTGCTCAGGCTGTTGCTGCGGGTCAGTTGAATATTGCACAGGCTGCTCCTGCTGCTCTTCTTCATAGTTCATTGGCTGCTGCTGCTGCTCGGCCTGCTGCTGCGGCTGATCTTCAGCAGCGGCGTATTGTTCGCGCAGCTGCTGCTGCTGCTGCTGCTGGTCTTCAGTCTCTGCCTGCTGCACTTCTGTTTCGTACACCTGCTGGAAGCTAGTTGCTGCTGCAGGAGCAGCAGGAACAGGAGCAGCAGCAGGAGCAGCAGCAGCAGGAGCAGCAGCAGGTGCAGCAGCAGCAGGGGGTGCAGCACCAAGATGATCAAAGCCTAGAGCTGCTGCAAGTCTGCTGAATGTCTCTGCAAGAGCAGCAGCAGTTGCGGTTCCTGTAGGAAACCGAATAACTATTTCACTAGGTGGGGCAGGAACAGCCATTTGCTGCTGCTGCTGCTGCTGCTGCTGCTGCTGCTGCTGCTGCTGCTGCGGAGTCTGGGGTACTCCCATAGACTCCTGCTGCTGCTGCTGGCGACGGTGGGGCTGCTGCTGTTCTTCGCCTTCTGCTTCTTCAGATTGAACATACTGCTGCTGTTGCTGCTGCTGCTGCTGCTGTTCGGTCTGGTCAGCAAAGCCATGGGGTTCCTCTTGCTGTCCTTGCTGCTGTTGCTGCTGCTCTTCCTGCTGCTGCTGCTGCTGCTGCTGCTCTTCCTGCTGCTCATGCGAAGCATATGCAACCAAACCCTCATAGAGGGCCTCTAAGGGGCTGTCTTCTCTTAGGTCTTGCCCCAGGGGAAGCTGCACATCTGCTGCTGCTGCTGTTGCTGCTGCTGCTGCTGCTGTTGCATCTGCGTCTGTTGTTGCTGCTGCCTCTGCTGCTTCTGCTGCTTCTGCTGCTTCTGGGTTCTCTGATTCTTCCTCTTCTGCTGCTGCTGCTGCTGCTGCTGCTCTTGTATCTAGATTAAGCTGCGCGTTGAACTGCAGCAGCTCTTCGATTACGGGCATCAGAGGAGACATCTCGAAGTCTGCAGCAGGCAGCATGCCGTTCTCTGCTGTTGCTGCTGCAGCAGCTGCTGCTGCTGCAGTGTCTTCTGCTGCTGCAGCAGCAGAAGGGTTGTCTTCTGCTGCAGCAGAACCCGCTGCTGCTTCTAGAATCTCAGATATACTCGTGTCAGTCGTCCCTTCTGTCTCTGCTTGAACGGAGACAGCTGGAAGCGCTCCTGAGGCTTCATATGCAGCAGCAACAGCGCTTTCTAGCAGCAGCTCCTGCTCCTGCTGCTGCTGCTGCTGCTGCTGGTCTTCGCCCTGCTGCTCCTCCTGGGATGCTGCTTCGGCTGCTGCTTGGGCCTCAGCAATTGCTGCTGCTGCTTCGGTCTGCGTCAGCAGCTCAGCTGTCTCCTCTTCTGCTGTTGCTGTTTCTGTTGCTGTTGTTGCTGCTGTCTGTGTTGCTGCCTGCTCAGCACTTGCTGCTTGTGCACGCATGCGAAGGGCCTCCAGAGCTTGCTGCTGCTGCTGCTGGTCCTGCGGCTGTTGCTGCTGCTGCTGCTCTTGTGTCTCCTGCTGCTGCTGCTGCTCTTCAGTTTGCTGTTGCTGCTGAGGCTGCTGCTGTGTCTCTTCCCCACCAGTGTGTGTTGCTGATGCTTCTGTCTCCTCTTGTGTCTCTTTAGGGACGGTCTCCATCGCCTCTGCTGCTGCTGGAAGGAAGTATGCTGCTGCTGCTGCTGCTTCTGCTTCTGCTGCTGCTGCTGCTTCTGCTGCTGTCTGCATGACTGTCTGCGGGTTGTTTGCTGCTGCGTCTGTCTCCTCTTCAGGGCTTTCAGAAGAAGGAGTTGCTGCTAGGGATTCTGTCTCTGCTGCTGCTGCTGCTGCTGCTGCTGGATCTTCTTCTTCTGCTGTTGCGGGTAAGACTACCACTGCGTCTGTCGTTGCTGCAGCAGCTGTTTCTGCTACTGCTGCTGCTGCTGCTGCTACTGCTGCAGTTGCATCTGCAGCAGAAGCTATAGGCTGAGTGGGAGAGACCCTCAGGGCCTCCTCTAGAGCAGCCATTGCAGCAGCAGCTTTTGCTGCTGCCTCTGCTTCTGCTGCTGCAGCTTCGCGTGCTGCCTTTGCTGCTGCTGCTGCTGCGGCTTCAGCAGCAGCAACTGCGGCAGCTACTGCTGCACTCTGAGATGTCGGGGGAGCAGCAGGAACTGCCCAGGTCTCCGTCAGTTGCTGCAGAGTATCTTCAGCTGCTGCTGCTGCTGCTGCTCCTGGTTGTGGTTCTGCTGCTGCATCTGTTGCTGTTTCCACGGCTGTTGCTGCGAGAGAATCCGGCGCTGCAGTAACTGCTGCACCTTCAGGGGTCTCTGCTGCTGCTGCGGTTGTTGTTGCTGCATCTGCTGCTGCTGCTGCTGGAGTTACCTCAAATGTAGTTGTTGCTGCAGCTGTTGGAGCTTCTGTCTGCTGCTGCTGCTGCTGCTGCTGCAGTTCACCGCTGCTGGTGGTGGATGTCTCTCCTGGCCTGCTAGCGGGAGCCTCTGCTTGTGTTGTTGCTGTTGCTGCTGCTGGGGTTGCTGCTGCTGTTGCTGCTGCTGTTGCTGCTGTTGCTGCTGGAGTTACCGCAGTTGCAGTAGATGCTGTAGTTGCTGGTGCTGCTGGGGTTGCTGCTACTGTTGCTGCTGCTGGCACTGTTGCTGCTGTTGCTGTTGCTGCTGCAGGCACTACTGGTGCTGCTGCTGCTGTTGCTGCTACAGGGAGCATCACTGGTGCTGTTACAGTTATTGCTGCAGGTGTTGCTGCTGCTGTGGGGTGCAGCGCATAAGACCCTATTACTTCAGCAGCAAGAGAGGATGGCCCATAGTACATGCTGTCGCCGCTGCTGCTGCTGCTGCTGCTGCTGCTGTAGTCTGGGGCAGCTGAATAATAGCTCGAGGCAAATGGAGTGTATGAAGGAGACACATAAGCAGACGGGGTTGAAGATATACTTCCGGGTGTATGTAGCCCGTAAGAGAAGCCCAAACTGCTGCTGCTGCTGCTGCTGCTGCTGCTGGTGCTTCTGCTGCTGTCTATGCTGATAGGATCTGTAGTGTAGAGCGAGAAGGGTGTTGCTGCAGGCGAAAGAGATGAGAAGGAAGAGACAGCTGGAGTATAAGAGGAGACAGTTGGGGTGTATGGGGAGACAGTTGGGGATAGGCGTGAAAGCGCAGCAGGAGCAGCAACAGCAGCAGCAGGAGCAGCAGCAGGAGCAGCAGCAGCAGGGATTGAGGAGATAACAAGAGACCCTGGTGTTGCTCGAGTGTGCATCCCTGTGGTGAAGTAGCCCAAAGAAGAAGGTAAGATAGTTGTTTCTGCAGGTGTTGCTGCTGCAGCAGACTCCTGAGGCTGCTGCGCTGTAGGAGCAGCATTAGTATAAGAAGAAGAAGCAGCAAAAGACAGAGAGGGCGCCACAAGATAAGCAGAAGGAGCAGCAGCAAAAGAAAAAGACGAAGGCGACAAAGACAGAGATGAAGAAGCAGAAGAAGGAGCCCAGCTACCACCAGAGATAGCGAGTCCCTCAGGTCCCTGAGCCATTGCTGCAAGAGGCAGCAGCAGCAGCAGCATCGTTGCTGCTGCTGCTGCTGCTGTTGCTGCTGTTGTTGTTGCTCGTTTTAAGGCTGCTGCAGTTGCTGCAGCCAACCTGCTACACCTAACCCCCGATGGAACACCCATCCTTATATATTAATATCAACAAAGCAAGAAAAATAAGATAGAAGAAATATAAACACCTAAGAATCTGAGGTGTATGTACACCTGCGTTTAACTGCGTTTAACTATGAAGAGCAACACCCAAATAGATACGCTCTACCTGTCTTCTAGACAAATAAACCTTAATATACCTTTAAGGTATAAAGGATTGCTCTGTATATATAGCAGCAAGACAAACAACAACAACACCACTACTACCAGCAGCAGCAGCAGCAGCAGCAGCAGCAAACGCGATAGACACAGACAGCGCGCAGCAGCAGGGGCTTAAGGGGTGACCTTCGGGTGTATACGCAGCTGCTGCAGCGGGTGAAAAAGAAAGAAATAATGCTGGAAATATATTTTATTTAATTATATTTATTGTAATTTATATTTAAAAACAATAAATAAACAGTTATATTATTATTTCTCTGCATCTTTCTACTGTTATCAGACATAGAGGAGGGCCTGACGCCATCCTTAGAAAGGAGGAGCTTCAGAGCAGCGAGTATATATATATAATATATATATATTAATATATAATATTATATTTATTAATTAATAAACAATCTATTATTAAAACCCTATACATAGTATTCTTCAACACCCTAAACAACAGCAGCAGCAACAGCAACAGCAGCTCGAGGATGCACGAAGCAGCACGTGCTGCAGCTGTGTTTAATTGAGGTGTACGTACACCTCAATAAACATAATGAAATATTTATAAAGACTTTTAAAGAAAGTCTTCCCAGCATTGAAATCGCTGTTTGGGGTGTACATACACCTCATCTGCCTACGTATCGCTTGGGGGGTCTATACTGACTCTCTATTGTATTATTTTTACTCTCATTTCTTCTATTAAAAACAACTCCTTAGACTGTGTAGCTGCTGCATTAACTCTTTGAAGAATGGCTGAGGCCTGCGAGCCCTTTGATTCATCTCCCGTTGCTGCAGCAGAGGTGTACGTACACCGCAGCAACGCAGCTTCCCCATCTACAGCAACAGCAGCAGCAGCAACAGCAGCAGCAGCAGCAGCAGCAGCAGAAGATATGGATGGTGAATGGTTTGAGGTGTCTGGCGAGGAGAGAGAGAGCGAGACCGCTGCATCTCCCAGTGCTGAAGCAGCAGCAGAAGCAGCAGGAGCAGCAGGAGCTGCATCTGGAGCTGCAGATACACCTCAGCAAGCTTCATACTTAGCTGATGAAGCAGCTATTCACGAGTTAATAAAAAACCTTCGTTCTCTTCGAGACGCTCACGCCTCAGTGGGGCAATATGCAGCAGCGCAGCGAATTGAGGGCCGCATCAAAGACCTCGATATTTATTTTGCTGCTGTGGTGCAGCAGCGCCTAAAAAGCAAACATCTCCTCTTCAACGCCGCCTTAGAAAGAAGCAGGTTCAAAGAAATACGCAGACTCGCCACTGCGCTGGTCCGCTCAACGCAGTTAGCTAGCTAGCTAACTAGCTAGCTAGCTAACTAGCAATACCTACCTACCCACCTGCCTATCGACATGCCTAGCTAGCTAACTAGCTACTTACCTAGCTAGCTAGCTAGCTAGCTACCTTCCTACCTGCGTAACAATGCCTAGCTAGCTAGCTAGATATATAGCTAGCTGACTAGTTGGATAGCTGGATAGATGGATAGCTAGTTAGACATGTATGCGCGTAGATAGCTAGCTATAGAAGCAGCTAGCTAGCTAGCCACTCAAAGAGCTAGCTGGCTATTCGGTTGGCGTTAGGTTGACTCGCAAGCTAGCGAGGCCGGTAGCTAGCTAGACATAGGCACCGCTAGCTAGCTAGCTAGCTAGCTAAAGATATGGATAGATAACTGGCTAGCTAGCTAGATAGCTAAAGAGATAGATAGATGGATAGATAGCTAGATAGATAGCTAGATAGATAGATAGATAGCTAGATAGATAGCTAGATGCATAGATAGATAGATAGCTAGATAGGTAGATAGATAGATACATAGATAGCTAGATAGATAGATAGATAGGTAGATAGATAGATAGATAGCTAGCTAGCTAGCTAGCTAGCTAGTTTAGATAGATAGATAGCTGAATAGATAGGTAGGTAGATAGATAGGTAGGTAGATAGATAACTAGGTAGCTAGATAGGCGGCCAGCTAGCTAGCTAGCTAGCTAGCTAACTACTAGTCGAGGTGTACGAATAGGCGCACCCGATGATATTATTTGTGTTTGTTTAAATCTGCTAATCAACTCCTTTGAAGCTCTTCTCTCTTTCTGCTTCCTGAAAGACTTCTGGTGCTTCTGCCGCTGCTTCTGCTGCTGCTTCTGCTGCTGCGTCTGCTGCCGCTTCTGCTGCTGCATCTGCTGCCGCACCTGCAGCAGCAGCAGCAGATGCAGCAGCAGCAGATGCAACACCTTTTTCTGTCTCTTCCTGTTGTGCATGCATGCGTGCTGGAGTTTGTTTGGGGCTGCGAATCCTTCATGAGTTTATCACCATAGAGCCCTCTGCTGCTGCTGCTGCTTCTGCTGCTGCTAATGTATATATATATATATATATATATATATATATATATTTTGCTTTGCTTGATAGTTAGTGGCTGGCTGCAGCATCTGCTGTCTCTGCCTCTGGGGTGTCTGCACAGCGGAGGAGTCAGGAAGCTTTCGAAGAGCAAGCCAGTGAGCTGCTGCTGCTGCTGCTGCTGCTGCTGCTGCTGCTGCTGCTGCTGCTGCTGCTGCTGCTGCTGCTGTTCAGGCTGGTGCTGCTGCTGCTGCTCTTGATGCTGCTGCTGTTGCTGCTGGGTTTAGCTGGCTGTGCAGGTAGTTATCGTCGGTCTCGCTAGCTAACTAGGAGGCTCGCTAGCTAGCTAGCTGATGCTCGAGCTAGCCAGCTGTGGAGTTAGCTAGCTAGCTAGCTAGCCAGCTAGCTAGGTAGTGGTGGTAGTAGCTAGCTAGCAGTAGAGGTAGCTAGCTAGCTATGAAGGCCTCTATCTATCTAGCCAAACAGCTAGCGATGAATGCAGCTAGCTTCTGCGTGCCTGTATATCCTGCATTGTCGCTGCAGAGTATTCACAAGGCATCTGTTTATTTGTCTTTGGTGTAGACATTAGGGTTTAGGGTTTAGGGTTTAGGGTTTAGGGTTTAGAGGCTTGCATGCAAACGCATGCATGCGTATGATTTGTTTGTTTTTAATTTGCATGCAGCTGGCTTTGTATTTATTTCTTTTTTTGTTTGTTAAGAAAATACGCTGGCATGAGCAGCAGCAAATGCATGCGTTCATTTGCTGCTGCTACTGCATGCATTTGCTGCTGCTGCTGCATGCATTTGCTGCTGCTAATGCATGCATTTGCTGCTGCCACTGCATGCATTTGCTGCTGCCACTGCATGCATTTGCTGCTGCTGCTGCATGCAATTGCTGCTACTTCTGCATGCATTTGCATGCATTTGCTGCTGTTATGCTGCAGCACGTCTGCAGGAGGAGTTGAAGCGGCGGCAGTTGAAGGAGACAGCGAAGATGCTGCAGTTTGCTGCGGTGTATGTACACCCCAGGAAGCCCCGCTGGTCTTCGTCGCTGCTGCAACTCAGAAAAGCAGAAGAAATACAAGCAAATGCGCGGAAGTATATATAAATATAAATATATATATATATATATTTATATATTTATATATGTACTATATATAATATATATACATATATATATGTACATATAATATATGTATGTGTTTATATATAAGTATAGATATAATATATATATGCGTTTATAAATATACATAAATGTCTCTGTATATATATATATATATATATATATATATATATATGAGACATCGTCTCTCTCTCTCTCTCAGAGAGAGAGAGAGACAGAGAGACAAAGAGAGATAAACAAAACAAAGACAGAGAGAGAGACAGATAAACAAAACAAAAAGAGAGAGAGAGCAGAGAGACAAACAAAAACAAAAAGACGCAGCACAGCTCTGCTGTCTCCTTCTTCTGTTTTGTCTCTCCTTACGCAGTTTATTGTTTATCTTTTTGTTTATTTGTTTGTTTATGTCTGCACATACACTTGTTTATAAATATATTTAAGTATATATATAAACAATATATATATAATATAATATATAATATATATATTTGTTTATATATTTGTTTATTTATATCTCTGTTTGTTTATATCTTTGTCTGTTTTTTGTTTGTTTATTTTATTTATTTTATTATTTATTTTTATTTATTTGCTTTTATTTATTTGTTTGTTTGTTTATTTTTATTTATTTATTTGTTTGTTTATTTATTTTTTTGTTTTTATTGTTCTCTATCCGTCTCTGTTTGTCTCTGCTTAAAGCCCCGAACCCCTAACTCAGCCCACTGCTGCTGCTTCTGCTGCTGCTGCTGCTTCTGCTCTTACTGCTGCTGCTGCTGCTGCTCTTATTGTTGCTGCTGCTTTTACTGCTGTTGCTGCTGCTTCTGTTGTTGCTGCTCCTGCTGCTTTTACTGCTGTTGCTGCTGCTCTTCTTACTGCTGCTGCTGCTGCTGCTGCTGCTGCTGCGGCTGGTGCAGCTACGCAGCAGCAGCTCGTTTGAAAGCAGCAGCAGATGTGCAGGAACGCGAGGAGTACATACGATGGAAGAGAGAAAGAGACAGAGCAGTGGAGATGAAATATAATTTGCTGCTGCAGCAGCAGCAGCGCGAGAGAGACAATCTGGATAGCCGTTTAGCAGCAGCAAGACAGCAGCTAATGATGCTGTTTGCGAGAGTTGTAGAGCAGCTAGGCAAAAGATATTCTTATCTCAGAACAAACACTTCACATAACGTCAGCTTTAACCTGCTGCTGCTGCTGCTGCTCATGCTGCTGCTCTTCTTGCTGCGCTGCTGCTGCTGCTGCTGCTGCTGCTGCTGGTGCTGTTCTTGCTGCGCTGCTGCTGCTGCTGCTGCTGCTGTTCTTTCTCTTTCTGCTGCTGCTGTTCCTGCTGCTAAAATAGCGGTGGCCTCGTTGTTACTATGTATGCCGCAGTACCCAGCAGCTGCTGTTGCTGCTGCTGCTGCTTCTACTGCTTCCACTGCTAGTGCTGCTACTACTGATGCTGCTGCTAGTGCTGCTGCTACTAATGCTACTGCTACTGCTCGTTGGTTTCCTATTTGGATATATTGTGAAGCTGCTGCTAGCGTTCCTGATACTGTTGCTGCTGCTGCTTCTGCTGCTCTTGCTGCGCTGCTGCTGCTGCAGCAACACCTGGAGAGCATTCGCGTTGGGCAGCAGCTGCGGCGTGCAGCAGCAAAGGAGTATTAAATGCAGCAGCAAAACACATAGCTGCAGCAACAGCACTTGCAAATGCAAGTGCTGCTGATAAGTGTTGCTGCAGCACATGCTGCTGCTGCTGCAGCGGACGCAATATCAACGGCAGCAGCAGCAGCAGCAGCAAAATAAGAAAAAGTTTAAACGTATTAATACCCAGTTGATGCATCCCCTCAAAACACCGCAACGCAGCACAAATGGAGGGAGCACGCCACAAAAAACTATAAGCTGCAGCTGCTGCTGTTGCTGCTGCTGCAGCTGCTGCAGCTGCTGCTGTTGCAGCTGTTGTTGCTGCTGCTGCTGCTGCTAGTGCAGCTGTTGCTGCTGCTGCTGGTGCAGCTGTTGCTGCGATTGTGTCAGATGCGCCGGCGGCAGCAGCAGCAGCTGCTACTGCTCGTGCTGCTGCTTTTGCTGCAGACCGGCTGGCTGCTGCCAGCAGCAGCAGCAGCAGCAGCAATTATTTGTTGTTGGTGAGTCTTTGTTTGTTGCTAAACAACTTTTTGAATTGCTGCAGATAAATTCTGTTGCTTCCATCTGGAGACAGGTGCTGCAGCATTAGCTGCAGCTGCTGCTGCGAGAAGGAAGAGCCGCAGCACTCAGCAGCAGCAGTTAAGTCTTCGAGACAAACAAATCCTAAAAGCAAAACAAAAACAATAAAACAAACAAGCATGCACGCTTCGGCTCATGCTGCTGCTCTTGCTGTTGCTTCTGCTGCAGCAGCAGCAGGCTGCTGCAGCAGACGGAAGGCGTTCGTAACAGCAGCAGCAGCTGCTGCTGCTGTTTCTGCTGTTGCAGCTGTATGCGTGCATTATCGTTATGCCGCTGCTGCTGCTCCTAAAAGGCTTCCGGTAGCAGCAGCAGCAGCAGCGGTAAGGTTAAAAGCAGCAGCAGCAGCAACAACAGCAGCAGCAACAGAACCAGCCGCAACAGCAGCATCCCCCGCAGCAGAGCAGCAGCATCAGAACAGCAGCATCACCAGAACACCACCAGCAGCAGCAGCAACAGCACAGCAGCAGCACCAGCAGCAGCAGCAGCACCAGCAGCAGCAGCAGCAGCAGCAGCAGCAGCATTATTACCTTTATTATTTCTATCAAGAAGAGCAAAGAGTGCAGGTGCTTCGTCTTCATTTTGCTGCAGCGAGAAGCCTTTAGAGGTTAGGAGACAAAAGTCTGAGAAGGAGACTCCGCCGCTTAGCTGCGACAGCTGCAGCATCTTCTCTGCCTGTGCATACACTCCAATATAAAGCAGCAAACTATTTATTTATTTATTTATTTATTTATTTATCTAGCTGCTGCTGGTGCTGCTGCTGCTTATTAACGCAGCAGCAAACGCATGCATGCAGCAGCAAACCATACACCTTTATATAAAATATATTTCCTTACAACCCAACAATCACCCCGCGAACAAATGCAGAAAAAAAAATTAAAACAAAGCCCCAAATGCATGCATGCATGCATGCATGCATGCATGCAGAAACATAAGGAGGAAGCCAGCAAAGAAAGAGCAAAGAAGAGAAAACTAAGATAAAAACAAATTCAAGTTAAATTAAAACAAAGGCAGAGAAGTCGGATGGACAAAAGATAAAAACAATACACATTATCAGCAGCAGCAGCAGCAATAGAAGCAGCAACAGAAATGATAGCAGCAGCAAAAATAATAGCAGCAGCAGAAACGGAAACAGCAAATGCTACACATGCAACAGCAACAGAAGCTGCTGCTGCAGTTGCTGCAGCAGCTTCTGTTGCTGTTGCATGCATAGCTGCAGCAGCAACTGCTGCAGCAGATGCTGCAGTCACAGAAGCTGCAGCAGAATCAACAGCAGCGGTAGACGCAGCAGCAGCATCAGGAGCTGCAGCAGCACCCGCAGCAGCAAGTGCAGCAGCAGCAAATGCAGCAGCAGCAAGTGCAGCAGCAGCAGCAGCAGCAGCGTACCATCGGTTCAGGTGCATGTACACCTAAAGCAGTGCATGCAGCCCTAAACTCCTTGGGCTGCAGCAAACCGTCTCCGTCTCTGTCAAATATTTCAAAGGCTTCCTTTAATATTTGCTGCTCTGAAGAAGAAAAAGCTGCTGCTGCTGCTGCTGCTGCTGCTGCTGTGCAATTCTGCTGCTGCTGCTGCTGGAGGGATTCCCATTGCGGTGGCTGCTGAGCACGCTGCAGCAAATGCTGCTGCTGCTGCTGCTGCTGCTGCTGTCGCTGCTGCAGCTGCTGCCGCTGCTGTTGGCGCTGCTGCGGGGCTGAGACTGCTGAGTGTTGCTGCTGCAGCAGTTGCTGCTGATTCCACGAGAAGTTAGGGTCTTTAGCTGCTGTTGCTGATGCCGTTGTTGTCCCCGCTGCTGTTGCTGCTGCTGCCGCAGCTGCTGCTGCTGCTGGTGTCTCCTTATGCAGCAGCAGCTGCGTTTGCTGCGAAGCAAGTAAGGTCGGGTGAAGGTCTTGCAGCTGCTGAGCAACCAAAAGAGTTGGAGGCCGCGCCATGGCAGCAGCAGCAGCAGCAGCAGCAGCAGCAGCAGCAGCAGCAGCAGCTGAAATGGGGGGTCTTGTTGATAGACTTTTGGGCCTCGCTAATGGGAGGTGTGTAAATGCGTTGCATGCAAATAATAAATGCAATTACTGCTGTTTCTGCTGCTGCTGCTGTCCTTGCTGCTGCTGCTGCTGCTGCTGCTGAGGTGGTCGGGTTGGTGGCGCTGGAACAGCTGCCGGAGTTGCTGCTGCTACATGCAGCAGCAGCAGCTGCTGCTGCTGCAGCAGCAGCACTAGCACGACCTCTATTTAGGGCTTCCTCAATAAAATAATGAGTTTATTTTGTTGAAGACAAAAAAACTAAAAACAAACAGGAAAATACGTACAGCAGCAGCAGTAGCAGCAGCAGCAGCAGCAGCAGCAGCAGCAGGTGACCTCACGAGCAGCAGCAACTGCTGCTGCTACTCTGCGCTCTTTGAAGCAATCAGCGACAACTAATCCTTGAGTACAGCAGCAGCAGCAGAAGCTCCTGTTCCTGCTGTTGCTGCTTTTGCTGCTGCTGTTGCTGCTGTCACGGTGAGGCAGTTAGCCGTACTGGTCTTCGAGTTGCAGCAGCAGCAGCAGCAGCAACAGCAGCAATAGCAACACCAGCTACCGCGGCAGCAGCAGAGTCGGCAGAAGCAGGAACAGCAGGAACAATAGTAGCAGAAGTTGAAACAACAGCAACCACAGCAGCAGCAGCAGCAGCAGCTGCTGCTGCTGCTGCTGCTGCTGCGCCATAAGGAAGAG